GCAGTGGTTCAGTAGCAGCGGGATGTAGGTCTGTCACCGGAGGTCTTCACCTGGCAAGTGGCCTTACTCAACAATTGCAGCACCCCAATTTATAATTAAATATTTTAGCTGGCGGAAATGACTGGCAGAATCCCAGACCAGGGAGAAGAGTCGGTGGAAGAAGACTGGAAAAAGTTTAAAGACTATTTACAGAAATACTGTAAAATTAATGAATGTTAGAACAATGTTGGAATGAAGTTATATGGCTTTAGCTGAAATGTTATAAGGAATTAAGTATAAATAGATTAATAGAGTGTTAAAGGAAAAAATAAGGTTAGAATGTGTTAAGATAATTATAGGATAGAAAACAGAGGAAAATGGAAAGGAATTGCTGAAACAATTAACAGAAGTGGAATACAAAAAGGGAGGTGTGAGGAGGTCGATGAAATAAGTGAATGAAAGATAAGATATTGAAATTATTTGATGTGTTTTAAACTATTTTTGTTTTGTTTTGTTAGTTCAGTGTGTTGGTGTTATGTGTTAGTGTTAGTGCTATGTAGTGTTTTTGCATTGTATTGTGTTGTTCATTTTTATTTTTTTTGGTAGTGTTTAGATTGTTGGAAAAGCAATAAATATTATTTTTTTTAAAAAAATATAATTAAATATTTTAGGAGTGCACACACATATGCAAGCAAGACATGTTCACTGCTACAACTCAGGCTTCAGTCCTGTTATTTGAACAGCCAGCCACTTGGCCACTTAATTTGCTTGCTGGTCACACTTAGTTTGCTTGCTCCCCTACATCCCATTAAGTAAGCCAGCCATGGAGCCCAGCCAGGCCACAGCATTGAGGCTTAACTTGGCCTAGGTGCTGCTGTGAAGGTCTAAGCTCTGAGCCCGCCCTCCCAACCACAGCCGCCACGCTCTCTGGTAATGTGGGTCATGGCAGGCAGAGCAGGCTCCGTCAGGCTTCCCTGACCTCTGCAATTTCTGCACCTGCCTGCTCATCCTCTGGAATCAGCATTTTCATCTATTAGTTTATTTGGCCTAGTGCCAGATATTAAGTCCCATTCTCGTGTGTGTGTCTGCCAGGGGGCAGGGAGAACTTGTCCTTTGTGTGAATGTGAGTTTGTCTCTGCAAGCTTTTTGTGCCATGCACAGGCATGAAAAAGTGTGCATGTCTCCTATATGTGTTTGTGTGACGTGTGCAGAGAATGAGATTGGATGAAGTGAAAAACTGGAACCATCCCTGACCGTGTAATGCTAAAAACGTGAACGAAGGAATGTGTGAGACAGTTGCCAAGTGGGACAAGTTGCTAATGCAATGGTTAGGCAGGGAAGAAGTATGTGCGCGTCCTTGAAGCAAACCAAACAAAGGATGTGGTTTATCTGCATGCCAACATTTGACCCACACAATCGACAGTCTTTCCTTTCAAAGCTTCCCACATTACTTTCTTAATGTTAGGGAAAGAGTTGTCTCACCTGTCTTCTAGCTTTGCAACCTTGGAGCCAACTTTAAAACTCTTCTTTCCTTCTTCTCTAGGCCATAAAATTGGTATCTGCCCTCAGTTGTTTCGCTTCTCTGCTATACAGTAGTACCTCAGGTTACAAATTTAATTCGTTCTGGAGGTCCATTCTTAACCTCAAACTGTTCTTAACCTGAGGTACCACTTTAGCGAATGGGGCCTTCTGCTGCCGTCGCAATGCAATTTCTGTTCTCATCCTGAGGTAAAGTTCTTAACCCGAGGTACTACTTCCGGGTTAGCGGAGTCTGTAACCCGAAGTGTTTGCAACCCAAGGTGTTTATAACTCGAGGTACCACTGTACTTGAATTCCATAAATTATGGCCTTTGTCGGTTCCTCAGTTTACTACTTTGAGCACTTATCCTAGCTAACCACACTCTCTTATTCCCATTGTTGTCCATTTTGGGCAGCTACTCTCTTCACTGCTGCTAGAAGTCTGTTAAGTTCCCTCTCTTTTCAGAAGAGTCAAATGGAATGTTAAATTTTACACTATGATAAACAAAGCTCTTGCGTAATTAGATACAATGGCACGATTGTGTCACAGCTATCGGACGCAAGGAAGCAAAAGCTATTTCAGGAATGGCCACAGACAGCACGTTTACAAAAGCTAACCATGGTACCCAAGAACATGCTGGAATGCACTGCCATCTGTCCCATAGTAAGCATTCATAATTCTACTGCCTATGTTAAACTGGGCTATAGTAGCTAGTCTAGGGAGCATTCCTATGGAAGCTAGTGTGAATCATAAATTAAGCCAGCTTAATGTTACAGCAGACTCGGTTCATCAGTGGGGCTGCTGCTACCTGGCAGAAGGAAAGCAAGCCTTTAAAAAAACAGTGTTGGGTGCCAGATTATGTGACCAAGCTGAATAGGCTTCGGATCCAGCCTAAGTCCTACCTTTCTAGTCCTAGTCCCACCATAGCCCAGGAATGCCTTTCACCAGTCTCAGCTCATTCAGCTGAACTGGGATGAGCAAGTTACTCCAATGTATCTTTGGCTGAGCTGGTGTTGGGGACTTAATGCCAGCTGAACTGGAGATCTGCTGTATCCTAAGCTGCCTATCCCAGCAGATTTTGTCATAGGCTTGCCTCCATAGTGCTCTTGTGCAGCAGCACAATCCTAACCACGTCTACTGAGAAGTCCTATTAAATTCAACGGGGCTTTCTCCCAAGTAAGTGGGGTTAGATTTTAATACTTGCAGCTGTATCATTTGCTTCTTCCAATTATTTCTGACTAGAAAATTTGTTTCCAATATCTAAGCATATTGTCTGTCATTTTAATCTCTCCTCAAAAATCACATGAAAAGGGTATTGGAACTGTTCCTTCTCTGTTATATAGCTTGCCAAATGCATTTTTATTTGGTCATATTTCTGTGGAATTTATGATATGGCCTATGCCACAATTAGCTGCTTGCAATCTGTTATTTTGCTTCAATTGTCATGAATGGAGGCCAGGGGGAGAAATCTTAAGATTTTTAAGGATATCCACTTATTAATAATATTCTTCCTCTGGCATCATAATTAATTGTCATTTCAAATGGGACATTAGACGGAACTATGTCATGCTAAAATGCATGAAGGACTGAGATAAATGATGGCATTACCCCAAAGTGGCAATTTTCTGACGTCAAGAGTTTGGAGAAATCCAACTGTTATCCATGGTTAACTATGTCAATTAATTTCAGTGGGTCTTCTCTGAGCGGAACTTTGAATAAAATCCTAAAACTCTTCGCACTGAGAGAGTTTATCATATTCAGTCCTGTGAGGCCCTGCCTTTGAAGAGAACTACCCATTTGGTATCTTCACTGAGTGACCTGGAACTGTCCAAATAGGCCATGCTAATGTGGTTGTGTCCTTATGCCCGTCCTAAAGTCAGCTCTTATCCCTATATATTACAGGCAATGGTTACATGAGGAAGAAATTGTCCTTTCTTTTTTTTACCTCTGTAAACAAGGACAGCAATAGGAAAAGAGCAACTGAGGATTTGTTAATCTTATGGATTGGTAAATGGCTGAATAACAGGAAGCAGAAAGGAGGAATAAAGAGGCAGTGTTCATAATGGAAGAAAGAAGCGGGGTCTACCTGAAGAGCCGCACTAGGATCAGTGCTTTTTAACTTGTTTATTAATGGTCTGGAGACAAAGGTGAGCCATGGCCAAGTGGAAAACACCCAATTATTCCGCGTGGTAAAAACAAAAATGGATTGCAAACAATTTTGTTTAGGCATGTCTATCCTGAAATGTATATGTTGACACATTTTGATTTCTTTTTAGTTGACTGCTTTGTTTTTTAAATGTTTAACTGTTTTTAGTACTGTACTTATTTTACTACTTCTTCACACAGCACAGTTACACGGTAGCATTTACTTCCTCTTGATGGCTACAAACTTTTAAGTTTGGGAAGGGGATTAGGCAAATTCATGACGACTTAATTTATTTCCTCCAGGCCCAATGCCTCTATAATGTTGTGGGGCTACAGGGATGAGGCATTATTGTGCTTGTGGGCTTCCCAGAGGCATCTAGTTGACCCCCATGAGGAAAAGGATGCTGGGCAGATCACTGGTCTGATTCACCAGGGCTTTTCATTGTGTGACATAAATTTGTCAGACATTTCCTTACTTGACCTGTAAGAGCTTGGACAGTAAGATCTGTTTGACAGAGGAACAGATCCCCTCGGGTGGAGGTGGGCTCTCCTTCCTTGGAGATTTCTAACCAGAGGCGGGAGAGCCACCTGCCACGATCTAGTGGAGATCCCTGTATTGCAGGAGGTTGGACTAGATGAACCTTTGGGGTCCCTTCCAACTCTGCAATTCTATGAACCGAAGAGTTCGGCTTTCTTTGATTCCCGCACACTATGTGCCGCACGCAGCAGCAGCTATTGTCAGGGGAAGAGTCATGCTGACCTGATGATAAACATCAAGGAAAACTGAACACAAAAGCCAACACCATAAAAACCAAGAGAAGGATCTTTACACTTGCGCGATGGGGGAGGGGGGAGGCGAAAGAGAGATATTAAAAGAAGCAGAACTTCGTTTATTATTGCGGCTGACTAAAGCTTCACAAAGAATGAATGCATTATAAAAGACCGGCATTTCGAGTCCCTTCTGCCGGCCTTCTTCTTCTTATGCCACGGCTTGTTGTGAGGAACCGACTTCCCCTCCCCTGCCGGGCAGCTTCCCTTCAACCCGCCATGATGCCCCAACGGGCGGGAAAACCGTCGCTGTGACCCTGACAGACAGGAAAGCGGAGGGAAATGGTGCTTTGGAGGGAACTCCGACAGGCGCCGCCGCCACCTCGGCTTCCTGCTCAGGCCAAGCGAGAGGCCTTTCCTCCGCGTTATGTAATAGGGAGGCGCCGCCATTGGCCCGGTCCGGGCGCAACAGCAGCAGCAGCAGCCGCCGCTGCCGCCGGATGAGGCGTTGGCGGGAGCGGCCTGGCCTGGCTTGGCCTGACTCTCGGCTCTCGGCGGCGGCGGCGGCGGCGGGGGGAGGGGCGGCGCGTGCGCACTTCGCCGCCGCCGCCGACGGACGGGCAGGGAGACGGACGGCGAGAGAGACTCCGTCCCTCGCACACACACACGGGCTCCTCCATCCTCACGGGCAGGCGGCGGCAGCTGCTGCTGCTGGGCCGCGCGGAGCCTTCCGTAGCTGTCGACGGACGCCTGGCAGGCGGGACCCCCACAGCCCGGGTAAACGCGGGGGGCGAGGGCAGGGGCTTGGGCGCCGCCGCCAGGCCTCGGGGGCGAAGGAGAGAGAGGCCGGCAGCCTGCTCGGGGCGGGTTAAGTCTCTTCCACCCGAGCCGGGCGGCGGCTGGAGGGCTTTATTTTTCACTCCCTCTCGTGGGGAAGTTTCCCCGTCCCGGGTGGGGGGCTGAGAAAGGTAGAGGAGACCCCTCGTGTTTCTTGCGGGGCTGGACACATGGCAGCTTCTTTCACGGACAGGAAGTTTTTTTTTGGGGGGGGGAGGGATTCGGGAACATGGTGGTTTCCTTATGGTTTTGCCCTGTGGTGGCATTTCCCATTTATTTGTTTCCCTCGCCTTAAAAAACCCCAAACACGTTTAGGGTGAGGGAAGGGTCTGGGGGGGGTTACTGTTAGGCCCCCGCCGGAAGGTGCTGGGTATGATGGGATTGGGTTGGTTTATTATATTTCTATGCCTCTTTTCTTTCAAATGAATCCCAAAGCGGCTTATAAATAATAGTAGCATGATGGAACACTACACATATAAATCATGTAGAATAATGGCTATGGGGGTTGGCTGTCTGGGTTTGCCTGTTAGAAAGTTGCACTTTCTTACATGGTGCTGTGAGGTTTTTGAAATGGGCTTTTCCACCTTAAAAAAAGCCCTGACCAGTTTTGCAGTGTTTCCTCTCTTTAGATTATCCCCGGCTTCCCCTAGTTATCCATGTAACAGGTTTACTGGCAGCACCAAATTCACCTTGAAAGGGTGAAGTTGGTAAATGATATGATGTTCGTCTTCATTGAAGTCATGATGATCTCTCTTGGAAATAAGTTTTTAGCCAGCTGTATCAAGGATAGCTGGACAGAGTGGGAAACCAGGCATGAAGGTGGTGAGCTCCCCCTTCCTTCCTCCAGTTAGGGTTCTTGCAGTTGACTGTGCAAAACAGGAGGATTTGCATTGCGTTGGCCACTCTTGGCCTCATACGCTTTCATGCCAAACACCATTCCTGGCACACTTTACTCTTTGTTGTTTCATTTCTTTCCTTGCCATCACGTGTTGGAACTGAGTCTGCTGTTCACATCAACACTTGAAACAGCTTAAAATCAGGTTGGAATGCTGTCTCTGCGTGTGTTCCTTGGTACAGTAAGGATTAAAAATTATATATCATAAGAGTTTGATTGAAGCTGAATGGTAAATTAATCTGTGTTGTGCTACGTGTGTAAAAGGCAGCTGCTAGTGTCAGACCTGAGATATGAAACCTCATTACCATTTGTTACTTGGTCACATGCACTGGTTGTTTTCCGACTTGGACATTTCCTTCTAGAAAGCAAGTTCTTATGCAAGTGATATGCTTGACAGCTTAATCAGAATCTTATTACTCTATTTTTGTTTCTTTACCTTTTTGTACATTCAGCTGCAAAGGCCTGTTCATTTTCTACCCTTGTTTGATTAAGTTAAGAAGTGGAAACTAGTTTGCAGTCTCATGAGTTTGGGAAAACTGCATGTTGTATGTCCCGTACCCCAAATATAGGAATATTGATGAAGAAGGCATTTAATACTGATATTTCTGACATACATAGTTAGAAGGTTACCACAGCAAGATTAGATGCACATGTTTTGTTCTGGGAATCGGAATCTGGTTGAAAACAAGGAAGGATCTGATAACATATGTTGGCTGTGTGCAGTTCCAGAGGAGAAATTGCTGCCTGCTGTTATGACAGTGAAATTCTTTTAGGACTTAGCAGATTGGATATGGTTGAAGTCTCATGGGTGTGCCTTTACAATGAACATCCTGGCCATCCTCCTTTTTAAATTCTCAGCTGTCCCAACCAAGATACCCATAAGTATACCCACCAAGGCATGACAAAACAGTTGCATGAGTTTTATTTGGGGAGGAAACCATCTTGGGAAATCGGCAACAAGTATGCAAACCAGTTGATCCCTACTTTATTAATCTTGCCAGGGTAATAACTTATTATTATGCATTCACCGTAAGTAAAATTACGTATGGTGTGGAGAAAGTGAATAGAAACTGTTCTTCTCTCATATTATTAATTACATTGCATTTATATCCTCCAAGGAACTCAAGGTGGTATAGATGGTTCTCTCTATTTTATCTTGTCGTTTGCCCTGTGAAGTAGCAATATAATACACACACATACACAACTATCCTTCACTAGCAGCAGTTCAGTATTAAAAACAATAATAACCAGCCACAGCAACAGTGCAGACAAGGCTTGATGCAGAAGAAGTTGGTTTTTTTGTTTTTTGTTTGGAATTAGAAGATCTAGAGATCTCACCCAAAAATACTTTTGAGCATGTAGATAGCAGATGGGGGAGGAACCCATGTACAGTACAGTGGTACATCAGAACTTGGAACAGAATTCATTCCGGAAGTCTGTTCAACTTCGAAACGTTTGACCTCCAAAGCATCGCTTATGATTTCGGCTTCTGAAAGAATGTTCAAAAACCAGAACACTCACTTCTGGTTTTTGATTGTTTGGGAGCCGAGGTACAACTGTATTAAAACATAGGAAATGTGAATATGCAAGGCAGAAGATTCAGAACCATATTTGCAGCCTTAAAAAATAATCCCCAATGCTAATAAAATGAGAGAACTTTGCTTTTCAATTATAGCAAAACTCTAAGCTTTTATCTGGTCACACTGGTTTTATGGATTCAGTGTATCTGTCACTGTTCTCACTGGGCTGCTTTGGGAGGAAGGGAGGGATATAAATTGAATAAATAATAATAAAGTTACCCATCTGTAGTCTGAGAATATGTGACCTTTTCTATAGAGCTGCTTTGTGGTCAGAACACACACATTGTACAGCAGAGGTAGCTAACCTGTGGCCCTCCAATTGCTGGATGACAACTCCTATCATCTCTGATGGTTGGCCATGCTGGGGGTGGTTCATAGGAGTTGGAGTCCAACAACAGCTTAGAGGATCATTGCCTAATACTTCGGTTGAAGGTATGACCCACATGAATATAGGTCTCTCTGCCTTTTCCTCATGAATCACTTTGCTGGCATGTGGGTGGAATGCTCTGAGGAAAATGATACAGGAAGATAAACTGTTTGAGGAACTCAGACTTGGAAGGAGTATGTCTCCCTTTTTCTGCTGACCCAGTCACTGAAATTTGCAGGAGAGTTCTGTCTTGTTCTGAATTCAAGCCATCTTCAGTGTGGAGCAGTGGTGTTCAAACTTTTTTCAAAGAGGGCCAGATTTGATGAAGTGAAGGCTGTGAGGGCCAACCAAAGTTTTTGACCTTTTTTTAGGATTGAAGTTGTTGAGGTTTTTTTAGGATTTTATCCCAGAAAATAAACTGACACAGGGACTGGGTTAAGTCAACCGCCAGGCCGGGTTATACCCCCAAAATGGATTTTGGACATGCCTGGTGTGGAGTTTTTGTCAGTAACTCAATACATGCTTATTCACCTGGGCTTTCGGGTTATTTTGAAACTGGCCATTGTTACTTGCTACTGCTCCTTTTATCAAAAGTTAATACTGGCATTATTGTACCATTTTCCTGTTTGCATGAACATCCCTTTATTCGGAGCAGCCTTCTAAAAATCAGTCTATTTAGCTTGGTATTGTCAGCACTGTTTGGCAGCAGCAGCTCTCCAGAGTTTGTGGAGACATCACAAGTTGAGTTTGGGATTTTTTGCATGCAAAACAGGCGTTCAACCTCTTGAGGTGCATATTTTGATAATGGCCAGTTTATACAGTCATACCTCGGGATAAATACGCTTCAGGATAAGTATTTTCGGTTTGCGCTCCGCGGCGACCCGGAAGTAACAGAGTGTGTTACTTCCGGGTTGCGCTGCTCGCGCATGCGCAGACGGTAAAAATGATGTCACGCACATGCACAGAAGCGACGAAACGCGACCCACGGACATGCTGTTGCGTCTTACGTTCTGCTCAGGATGCGAATGGGGCTCTGGAACGGATCCTGTTTGCATCTCGAGGTACCACTGTTTTTGGAATAAATAATAAACCTAGGAGCAAGCCCAAAAAAGTACAGGTTGTCATTCCATTGCATATCTAATTCTATATCAGGAATAGGGAATCTGTAGCTCTCCAGATCTTGTTGAACTACAACTCTCATCGCCCCTGAACACTGGCATTGCTGACTGGGGCTGTTGGGAGTGCAACAATATCAGGAGAAATGCAGGTTCTACGCCGCTGACTTTAAGAAAAATATCATGGCTGTGAACAGCATAGAATAAAATTATAGTCATAAAACAAATACAAAACATCACAAATCAAATAAAATGAATATATCAACTTTACTGAATCACTACTTGGGGGAAGCCAGAGTGAACAGGTGAGCTGTAAGCAGGCGCCAAAATGCCGGTACTCTAGGGGGCTGCCTGATAATCACTGGAAACACAAGCCAAAGGGCAGGTGCCACCACACTAAAGCCAGACATAGCCTATCCTGGAGGATGCCATGGTCAATGGTACAGAAACCTGCAGAGAGACTGAAAATAGGCAAGGTCTCACTCTCCTTGTCTCTCTCAATTAAAGTAATCTATCAGGGTAACAGGCCAATTCGTCCCAAAACCATGCCTGAATTCAGACTGCAGTGGTTCTAGATAATTAATCTCTTCCAAGAATGTCTCCTGTTGTTCTGCCACTACCCATGCCATCTTCATTTACAACTGGTTGGTAACTATCACAAACCATGGAGACCAGTGTGGACTTCTTTAGCAGTGGCCATACCAGCTTCTTTTAATGCCAGAATTTATATACTGCTTGATTGTAAGAAAACCTCTTAAGTGGTTTATAAGAAAATCTCTTACGTAGTTAATCAATGATAAAATATTTTCAATGTCTAAAAGGATACCCGATTTTAAAAGCATTTTTAATACAGCTGTATTTGAAAAGTACAATGACAAACACAATCTTAAGAATATCCCTCATCTCTCTCTTTTATGTCTGTGTATTTTGCTTCAGAACTATTTGTACTTGACTGCAAACTTTTAACTAATCAGCTAAAACTCTCATGAGAAGTTGACTTTTGTATTAGTTTTGTAGTAGTATAACTTGATGTTTGCAGGGGAATAGTTAAAATTATCAAGCTGCTTTGACATAAACACCTTCAAGAGTACACTGGGATAACCTAGATGTCTTGGAGAAGTGTAGGCAGGCTCTGGTTGTCTGTCACTCTTCAGTCTTCTTGGTCTCTTGCAACAAAACACTGTAAATGCTCTGAAACAGCATATTGTGACAGACTCTAGCTTCATGTTACACACTTGCACAATGATACAAGGAGCAATCAGAAGTAAACCAGAACTGGGTGGAAATTATTCTGAGTTCATATGTTACCTGGGGAATGAGCACTGGCTATAGTGTGGGAAAGAATTACTAGGTCACTTTTGATGGCAAACTTAGACATGAATGTACATCTTGCTCAATCATAAAGCTCCCTCGATAATACAGGACCATAATGATACGCTCAACATAACCTACCCCATAGAGTTGTTTGATGAATAAGAAGGGATAACATCGTACCTGCTATCTATAAGTACTTGAAGAAAGGGTAGGGTACAAATCAAGAATACCTCTTGGTGTAAAATATAAAAAAGAAAGTTTCCCTGCTTTGTAAGCAAAGTGTCCTTGGTAAATGTGTTCCCTTCTCTGTTTGCCTTGTGATATGAATGTGGGTGCAGAGGCATGTATTTGTAAGGGAGAATTGGAGTATTTTTGTAAATATTCCAGACCATTTTAACCCATTGTTTCCAGTAGCATCTGGGGGGATTGATGGTGTAAGACATTTTTCTTAATAAGCACCCCCCTTTTTTGTGTGTGGCTTTTTGTGGCTGGTCAGTTCTTGTCCCTTTATTTTCAACTACGGTAGTGAGTTCTGAAATACTATTATCCTAGCATAGCTGACAAATAACTTCATAGAGGCTAGAGTTCTCCCAAGTCTAGTTGGAGTAATAAAGGTGTTGAATTCCTTGTGTTCTGTGACTGATTTATATCCGTGTGAATGGAACAATGTGTACTTAATCTAAGAGTACCTTGAAACAGTATAGGGCTGTAATTGGGCTGTCACCAAATCATTGGCTGTCAGGAGCAGGGAAACGCACAGCAGTAATTATGTCAGGACACAGGATAGTTTTGTAATTTGACCCAGGACTACCAGTTTCAGTAGCAGCCATGTGTTTCTTCTCAAATATAGCACCACCTTCAATTGCTCTAACTAAATGGAGGGGTTTGAGCCTGAATTCTTTCGTCCAAATTCCTCCTCCTTGTAACAGAATAAATATTCCCTTAGTTGTAATCTGTGGAACCACTCTTGTCTCATTTTTGGGAATAAATGATGGGGCACCTATGCTAGTTGTGAGGAAAGTACCTGGGCAAGTAATTACAAAAATAATTTGTTTGGGGAGGATAGTTGGTCCATATCTGAAAGCAGCTTGTGCTTTTTCTAGATGGAGGCTGGCTCTTAAGAAGTGCTTAAATGCTATGGCTGCAATCCTAAACACAGTAGTGAGCAAATTCTTTTAACTTGAAGCCATTTATTTCTGAGCAAATATGCCTTAGATTGCTCATACAGTTCAATCTGCTATAATGCCTTTTGCACTTATTTTTAGATATGGCTCGTGGACAACAGAAGATCCAGTCACAGCAGAAGAATGCCAAAAAGCAAGCTGGGGCAAAGAAGAAACAAGGCCATGATCAGAAGGCTGCAGCTAAAGCTGCTCTAATATACACCTGCACCGTCTGTAGGGTAAGAGGCTTTGAAAATGAAGCATTGTGGCAATCTTTCCAGGCCCCAAGTTTGACTTGTATGGAATGAAGCTATGGAACAGACAAATAACATCTATGTGTGTTGTGTGCTACATATGCACTCTAGGTGGGGAATTGATAATTTGACTCTGGATTCCCTATGCTCTTTTTCCTTCATATAATTCCCTAGAATTCTCTTCTCCATAGGCAGTACAGAAGAACCTACATAAAGTTTTAACACACCCTTTGCATTGTAACCGGCTATTATATCAACTTGTGCCTCTTTGTATGAGTTCAGTCTCCTACTACTGATTTCAGTTGTTGGGTATCCTGTGCCAGCAAGTCAAAAAGGTTACATGGCAAACACTTGGATCTTGTATGAGATGAAGGTGTATGTTATCGGTAGTGCCTATCATTTCTGCAACACTTGGGGAATTGCATGCGCTTTGCTTTGAAGAGTTGGAGGGTGTGACAGCATGCACATGCAGTGTAGTAAATCAGTAGGTTAAGAGGTGAGGGAGAAGGAAATGGGAACATCCTCACTTTGTGGGTTCCTGGGCAAGAGATTTCTGATTTTTATTTATTTATATGCTACCCAAATAACAGTGTGTCCTTGGGCAGTTTAACAACAGGCTTCCCTTTAGTGTGAGAGACTCAAGGCAGCATACAGTTGAAAGCAGATATAATAACATAATTGATAAACAATAGCAATAAAATATGCTGCAGAACAGGGTATGATAAAAATGGGCAGGATGGACAGACAGATGTGTGCAACGAGGAGTAAAAAATGGAACAGGTACAGTTTGGATACACAACTGAATAACAGTGCAGGACTTGGTGAAGCAGGGATTTTGGTCAAATACTGGGGGGAGACTGCTTGTTACATAGGGACCTGCCTATGTTTCTATACATTGCCAGCATTTGGTGAGTGTCTTGCTTGTAAGTTTAGCCTTATATTTAACCACTAGTCTAGTAACCTTTGGTGACCAGGAATTGCATGCTGATATGGGAGTGGGCTGGCAGGGTGGTATGAATTCTCCCTCATCTGCACCTACTGTAAAACCCAGGTGAGCTGTTAGAGAAGGTGAGCCTCCTTCTGTATGCCCATCACCAAAAGTCGGTTCTTGATACCTCTTCCCTTTAATACACAACAGGCTATTTTTAAAATGATGGCTCCCCGTTTGTGGAATGCTCTCCCCAGGGAGGCTCTCCTGGCACATTTATTACATATTTTTAGGCACAAAGGGAAAACATTTCTCTTCAACCAGGCTCTTTGCTGTTGAACAGTCTATGGCCTTTGAAATGTGTTGAGGGAGGATTATTTTTTTATTATTATATTATGCATGTTGTGTTTTTATATTGTAAACTGTCCTGTGATCTTCAGATGAAGGGCAGTATATAAATTTAATAAATAATAATTTTGTACTTCCCAACAGGCAAAAAACTAAAGTTAAAACTGAATTCACTGGTTTCAGGAAGGAATACCCATGAAATACTAGCCAAATAGCAGGGAGGGAGGGGGCACAATTTTATGTGCAATTTGTGAAAAGGATAAGAATTGAGTAGGAATGAGTAGGTAGAACAAAGCAGGGAAGTTAGGAGGTGGCAAAGAACGAGGAACAGTGCCTCCAAAATTTGGCTGTTCTTGAGCCAAAAACCCTAATGCAGTCCTTTAGGATTCAGGGAGAAGAAGCTGTATTTGAATCTGTTTGGGATTTTGCCTTGCATATAGCTCCATTCTCTCCTTAATCAGACACAGATGCCAGATCCCAAGACCTTCAAACAGCACTTTGAGAGCAAGCATCCGAAGACTCCGCTCCCTCCAGAACTGGCAGATGTTCAGGCGTAAAAGTTCACAGGTGAATACTTAGCATTTAAGTTTTGAGTTAAAGAAATTTAGTATATATCATAAGTAAAACTGCTTCAAATGGATTTCATTTACAATATAGGTTTTATGTAAATTGGGAGCTAACCTGAAGCATAAACGAGGATTTTGGTTTTGTTGCTTGTAATATTTAGAACTTTATTTTGATATAGCCAGGGCATTACATAGCAACTTGGAGAGTTGCCAAAATTGGCAACAAGTTTGTGAGAAGATAAATGTGTGTAATCTTCTAATTTTGTTGTGTTTATCTGTTGCAAGGGTTCAGGGAGGTTCGGTTCATTTAATTATGAAATGACATTACATTGAATCATTAGATGCTAGTTACTAAATGAGACAATAAGATTGTATTTAACAATATTACTCTTGTGTTGCAGGTGAATTCATGGAACCTATTGACTCTTCTACTGTCAGACATTGCATAACAAACCTGCAGCTGCTTTTCTAACAAACTGTTGATCAGCAAAAATGAAGGGGCTATAGAAACATTCATATTTTTATGCTGTTCCTCTTGGGCGTCATGTAAAGATGAATCTATGTAACTGTACAGTTGTGCCCTACTTGGAAATCTGAAAATTGGTTCATTCTTAAATTTTTTACAGTTGTAATTATATTGATGTTCATATTGTGTAAAATAACTCATTTAATAAAATAGTACTTTGATTTTACAATATCGCAGGTAAAATACTTGTAGAAGTTCTGTTTTCAATACCTGTTTTATTTGCCTTACGAAATCCTAACAAGTGGACTTCTCCCACAGCCAAAAACTAAATGGTGTCACTTGCTCTTTAACACTTATTACTGTTGAGTCCACATTAACTAGAAAAATTCTTTCTCCATTCGATATTGCTTTGAGCCTGGTTATTTTCTAAAACACTTAATGTCTTTGACTGAAGTAGTGTTTTCTTTCAACTCTGTTTAGTTTGGAGTGCCTGCTCTACTGACCCTTATGAAATTTCATTCTTGTATATAAATGAGCTTTTACCTTACATTTATGCACTGGAGACAAGTGCAGTACCAGTGAATCCTCATGCTAGGTGGCAGGCTGGTGGAAGTATAATAGAACTGAAGTTTTGTTTTGGTGTGATCTGAATGATCATATTTGCTATAGCAAGTTAAAATAATTTATCTCTGTTGTGAAGTTCCACTGTGGAAACTCCTAAATGCACCTATGAGAAGTCAGCCACACTGGCTACATTAGTGTGTAAAAAATGACTACTGTAATGGTTTCCTTGTATGAAAGCAAATGTTAAATAAATCTGTTTCAAAGAACAGGATGGCACACAAAATGGAGGTAATAACTAACGAAATGGAAAGAAAAACTAGCTGAGCTTTGATTAGTTGGAACCGATGAATGGTAGCAGGATAGGTGTTACCTTTTTCCTATCTTGCAGCATTGGTTTATGTCTGGACTACCCAAATTTCATTTTGAACTAATGTCAGATGCAGAGTGCCCATGTTTTGGAGCTCTGTCTTACTTGCTTTTTACTGGAAAGAACTGCAAATCCATTTTATGTTGGTAGCAGATGACTGACATGGGCATTATTGCTTTCCCATTGATTGGATATTTGGAAGGAAATATTGACCAGCTTCTCTTTGCTTTGTGCCTGGGTCATTTAATGTTTTAAACAGTTAATTCTTTACTTAAGCATGCCCATGCAGGTTGCACATTTGATACGGAAAGGTAAATAGCAGTTTGTGCATTTGTTAACCCGTCTGATCTATGCCATTTAAGTTCATCTGCCTTTACTATAGTCATTCTGGAATGAATCTTCACAGTTTTGTAGCTGTCATTGCATTGTACCCCTGACATTAGAATGTAGCCTTTTGGTTCGTTTTGTTTCCTCACTTGATAATTACAGCCTGTTCATCATATGATAGCTAGGTCCCACTAGGCAAGAAATCTGCCTTCCAAACTGCTGTGGTATGCTTAAATGTTGAAACTGAGTGCTTTTTAAACTGAAAGACACTTGTTCACTAATTTTTACTTTTAGTAGTCTGTTTTTGGGGGGAATTAAAAAAAAAACACCACCTTTAAATAAGTTCATTCCTAAAGCTGATACTTGTCATGTATTATTTCAGACCTCAGAGCAGTAAATAAAAGAGGGTTTTCTTCTAAATTATTTGGGAACAATTAAGCATAAGTTTCCTACTAGCTGTAGGACAACTGACCCATTTATATGCAGAATTTGCATTTTTTTTAAAAAAAATGGTTGTCATCAGTAGCATTGTGTTTATGCACTGAGTAAGTTAGATCTTGATTTTGTACACTATACTAATGCTGTTACCAGCAGATAATTTGTTTTCTAATCAGTTAAAAGCCACCACAGAATCTTGGAAGGTCAACACACATGGGAGCTAACATGCGGGGTGGGGGGAGAGAAAACTGAGGTGGTAGGAACCTTGAATTCTCTGTGCTGAGTTAAAGAGATGGGGATAAATGTGGAAAAAAATATTCTTTCCAAATCTTGTGGATGGTACCCTGTTAATCCTGGATAAAGACACAATTGTGCAGTGTAATGTGTCTGATTAAAATCTTTTAAAAAGCAAAAGTGTAAAATGTGATATTTCCTGCCTACTTAAAGCAAGTGTCATTTTATTAAAGCTTTGATGCTAGCTGGGCAGCTTTAGCAATTTGTTTAGTACAGGGAATGGAAAGGACAGCAAGCACTTCACTCAACTCTCTAAGCACGAGTAACTTGGGTTTGGAAACACCAAGATAAGGTAAAGAAACATCTCAGCAAAGGTCCTGGTGAATTGCCAAAAGTGCTTGGCTGTGATGAACAGATGTTTGTCTATTGGTTAAGTCACACTTGAAATAAACAGGATACAGGGTTGTATCCAGCACTGCCATTATGCTTATGCAGTAGACTACTGCACGCACTATGGAACTTCCCTCTCCCCTGCCATACAATCCCCTGCACACCCCCAAAATCTGTTCTAGAAGTTTTGGGGACCTTATGGTACAGATTTGCGGGGTGCGTAGAGAGGAGAAGAGCAGGTTCCATTGCACAAGGTCACTCTACGCATGTAGCACTTGAGGCAAACCCATAATCTTGGGGGAAATGTGCTATTGCCGTCACTCAGTCACATCATACAAAATTGCTCATAGTCATACCAAAGATTCTAGGACTATTTGCATGTAGATTTGCTGAAACAGCATTCTCTTGTGAAAGAGTGTGAATACCTAGTCTCTGGAATGCTGCCTAACCTTGAACTCTGGGCATTAGCAAGAACCCTTGTGAAACTTACATGTATAGTGTCAAATACTGCACTGTCAGGCAGGTTTTGTCTCTTAACAGGCCAGCTGAGCTTTATAGGTCATATCAAGTACTGGGTTCTTTCTCGACTCCAGCTACGTGCTATCTAGGTTCTTTTTTGCCTTGCTAGGAGAACAGTACAGCTGCAGTACTCAGATGAAATTGCATGTCTTGCTGCAGAGATCTTCAGGGGTTGACTACACAGCAAGCTTGGAAGATACAGACTTAATGCACTCATTCATCGGGTGGCTCGAGTTATTCTGGTAGCGATTTGCACATCAACCAGGTTATGACTTCCTTAATGCACGACAGTTTATAACATTTGCAAAGGTAAAATCTAACATTTATATTCTTCAAAAGGGCTGAAAGCTGCCAGGTGTTGGAATCTATTTTGGAGGACTGTTACAAAGTTGATAGAGCTCATTGTTTTCTGTTGCTCTGGAGGGGAGAATTTGAACCAACGACTTCAGATTACGAGGAGTCGAGTCTGGATTAAATCAGTGGATGAGGACTGGCTGCCTTGAGGGCTGTATGCTGCACAAGTACACCATCACGATAAATATTAGGAAGAGCCTCCTGATGGTACAGACGGTTAAAACGGTGGAACAGACTGCTTTGGGAGATGGTGGGCTCTCCTCCGTTACAGGTCCTTAAGCGAAGAGGCTGGGTTTAACTAGAGGAAGCAGTGATGACCACCAACCTAGATGGCTTTAAAAGAGGATTCAATAAATGAACAGAGGATTATCAAGGCCAACTAGCCATGATGGCTCTGCTCCACCTCTGCTACTGGAGGGAGTAATGCTCTTGAATACCAGTTGCTGGAAGCCACAAGATGGGCAGGGGGTTCTTGTGTTCGCATTCCGCTTGCAGGATTCCCACAGGCATCTGATTGGCCTCTAAGCAGAATGCTGACATCCTTATTGGGGATGCCACCTCTTGGGGCTGCTATAGGAGTGGAGTGTGTGGTTGGAAGGATCAGGTGTTCCCCAAATGGTCTCTGGACTTCTTGTGGCCCATGAGTTTTATTCAGATAGTCTGCAGCACGTCAGTGTTAAATATTCATAAAGATTTTTTCAAAACTTTTTTTTCATTTCTTATATTGTCTTTGTATTGCAATGCAACTTGAATTCTATGAAATGAAATGAAACCTATAAGACAGTAAGGAAAAAAGCAATACAAAGATCAGACAGCATATTGCACTGCACATTACAGTTGCTACAACAGGCAGGAAAATCAGGAGGGGAAAGTGGGAATCACTGGACTGGGCAGACTTTGAGGTTCCTTGGAATTCTATGTAAAACCTTCACTGTTTAAACTGTGGTTTAAACCCTGTAGCATCAGTTTGAGAGTCCATCTAGTCCAGGATTATATTTAAAGAAGATGTCTTCAGCAAGCACATAAACAGCTTATGAAGGCAGCTCTCCCTGCCCAAGAGCATGTGATAGACTGGTTCTGACCTTGAAGATCTTCCTTTAGCTCGATAAAGATGTTTTTCTAAGACTGCTTCACAGGGTTTGTATTTGTAACTTACTGTATGATTGGAGTATGTATGCATAATACACAGGAAATTATGGCAAACATAATTGGGGGTCACAGTAATTTCATACAGCAGCTGACCATCATGGCGCAATAAGGGATAGCACTCAGATTAGTGTTCTGTTCTCCAGGAGTGAATAGTGCGTCCAATAATGTATGCCTCGAATAAACAGAACTGCTGTTCCAAGTGTCATCTGACCACTCTGCAATATGTAACCAATTTTTTGTGATTATGATAATTGCACACCCAAGACTTAAGATTTTGCTGATGTAAGCATAGCTACAGTTTGAAGATTTCTGTGTTGCTGTATTCTGTGCATCCTAACTAAATTGGATTGTATTTGGTTGTTTTCTTAATGTTCTGTATTGAAGTTATAAAAATTAATCTGCTTGCTTGCTTTCAGAGCACGTTAATGGTACAATGTAAGGAAATTTCCCATTAGATAGCCTGAAATAGTCATTTCTAGAAGGGGGTCAGCATATAATACTGTCACTGTCCCCTGTTGGGTGCAAACATTTCCCCCATGCCTCATCCAGAGTTTCTTTTGTATTGTTTAATATAAATGCATGTAGAGTCTGGCAATGCTAACACTCCTACATGAGACCCTTCCCTCATTCAGTCAGCTGCTTCCTCTCCTGCAGGTGTGTTGCCAGGTACTTAAAGGGCACCGAGCGCCACTATCATTCTAGCACTGCATTCAGCAGAGATCAGGTCCTCTCACCATGGAGCTGAATGCAAGCCCCGCTTGCCAAGGAACAACCAAGAGTGCCTTTTAAGGTTCGTGGTTTTTCCTCTGCAGCTGCTGCAGGTTTGCCTGTGCCACACCTGATGCCAGGTTGGCATATGAGGTCTGGTGCGGGTGGCTTGGGAAAAACAGCCCTAGTGGTCCCAATTAGGACCCCTGGTGGAGGTTCTCCACTGCTGCTGCTGTATGTAAATTTTATGAAATAAATACAAATAAACTGGCATTCCGAGGCATATAGTGCCTCGGACCTTTTTGTTGTTTAGTCGTTTAGTCGTGTACGACTCTTGGTGACTCCATGGACCAGAGCACGCCAAGCACTCCTGTCTTCCACTGCCTCCCGCAGTTTGGTCAAACTCATGCTGGTAGCTTCGAGAACACTGTCCAACCATCTCATCCTCTGTCGACCCCTTCTCCTTGTGCCCTCCATCTTTCCCAACACCAGGGTCTTTTCCAGGGAGTCTTCTCTTCTCATGAGGTGGCCAAAGTATTGGAGCCTCAGCTTCACGATCTGTCCTTCCAGGGAGCACTCAGGGCTGATTTCCTTAAGAATGGAGAGGTTTGATCTTCTTGCAGTCCATGGGACTCTCAAGGGTCTCCTCCAGCACCATAATTCAAAAGCATCAATTCTTCGGCGATCAGCCTTCTTGATGGTCCAGCTCTCACTTCCATGCATCACTACTGGGAAAACCATAGCTTTAACTATACGGACCTTTGTTGGCAAGGTGATGTC